AATTTGGGCGGGAAAAATCTTGGGGGGCTCGTACGCGGGTACCACGCTTGCCGGGGGGCTGGATTTTAGCTCATTAGTACCTACTTGGGCGGGGAACATTCCCATAAAATTTCAGCTCTCCAGCTTTTCTGGTTCGCGAGTTATCAGCTTCCCCGTAAAAAACTTTGGCGGGGTCTTACGGGGGTACCACGCGGGAAGGACCGCCCATTTCGGGGATAGGGGCCCGTACGTGCATGTAGATTAAGTCCCCAAAGTTCCAGCCCCGTAGCTTTTGCCAGTCTTGAGATGAAAAATCGGTACAGAGGCCCAACGCACACACAGACACACACACAAACACACACAGACACACACACACACACAGACAACTTCTCGTCAATATGCGTTTTTCGCATTGCATTGCTGCAAAAAACGCATAAAAACTAGTAGACAAAATGAAGTGTGTTCATTTAGATCATAACTGTTGCCGAGCAAAACGTGAAATTACAGACCAGTAACAGCAGCCTTCTGACCACTTTTGAACCTGAAAAAGTTGGCCCCAGCTCAATTTTCCAAGCCTTTAAAGTTTACAGTTAGTTCCACCGAATAATTTATGAAAATACAAAATTTAAAAAGTAAAACAAACAAAGCAGAAGAAAAAAATGTAAAGAACGACGAATAAAATCTGCTAACCTCTCTCCTTCCGTAAGTTGTCAAATTAATTCGGAGCAATTGTCAACGTCACCCTGCACACAAACCTCTAAAAACAATATTACTTGTTAACAATGAAAAGCTTATAGTTTTACAAAGTTATTTGAAAACCCGAGTATTTTTGACTTGAAAAAAAACACAAGTTCTCGGGGCAATTTCAGTTCAAAAAGTCGTTTTCAAGAAAAGTTCCGTACCAAGTCCAGTAGGCCGCTGATCTAATAGTGACAACTGATTTTGTTTTTTTGGCCGCACATGGACCGGGAACATTTTTTTTTTCTTTTCCAGTTGCTGAATTGAATGAGTCAGGAGAAACACTCAAAAAAGCACTTTAAGAAGCCCGCATTCTTTTTATGAGAAGCGATAGCACTCGGAAAGCAGTCCAAAATGCGGATGATTCTAATATGGACAACATACAAGTGGTGATGAATGGCCCGGCAAGGCTGTAGATGGAAGCCTGTTTAAAAGATTGCTTAAAAGCTGGCTGATTGCAAGTTTGACTTCCTGGCATATGCCATTATGTTTACCACCGAAACGTCTGGACGATCTTCTGGGGAACAGCTTTCTCATTGCTGCAGCAGAATCCTTAACCTCTTGCGCGATAGCAGCGCTATTTTAAATTGCGCTATAATTAGTTTTGATAGTAATTCTGTGCTAGCAAGTGCCATGGAACCAAAACTGCCATGAAGTTGCTTCACGACACCCTCTAAACAGCCAAAAAAAAGCCTTGCCTGAGGGGTTGCTGCTGGTAAAATTGTAAAATTCGAGCTACTCCCGAATGCCGCATGATCGACCACCAAAAAAAGGGAGAAATATTGTTGAACCCTCGACTTTTATTCCTAGTAAGCACCAATTGTCAGTCTCATTTAAAGAGGGTTATTTATTGGCAATTGCACCATGCCTACTTTGTTCAAAGACTGGTGGGGAAACGATGTGGGGCTCTGTTGAAAGGGAACAGGGAAGAACGTCTAGCACAATATGATATCTGATTTCAACCCGCACAGCCATCGAAGAATGACTTGACTATGCCGAGAGGAAAACTCCCCGCAATTTCTGAGCTAGTTTGAAAGTACAAAACACACTTGTACAATCCAGTTCAAGCCTGCTGCCATCGCTCTCGGTCCAATATGTGGCCAGATAAGACGAAAGCTCCACGTCACAGCTCCTACTGCGAACTGTGTGAACGTGTTTTGTCGCAACCTCGTAATCTTGTAAACTCAATCTGCGCTTTACTTTTTCCCTCAAATTGGCATTCCTGTGACCAACTCCATCTGTCAAACCCTTGCTTGCTTCTTTCACTTTTCCATCTTCGTTGAAAGCATCTGCATCCCTAACCATCACACTTTTGTTTGCTTCTTCCAATTTCCCATCTTCGTTAAAGGCTTCTGCATCCCCATCTGCCAAACTTTCATTTATTTCTAATTTTCCATGTTCATCAAAAGCTTCTGTATCCTCATCTGCCGGATTCCTGTTTGCTTCTTCCAATTCTCCACCTTCGTCAAAGGCTTCTGCATTTCCATCTGCCGAATTACTGTTTGCTTCTTCCAATTTCCCACCTTCGTTAAAGGCTTCTGCATTCCCATCTGCCGAATTCTTGTTCGCCTCTTCTAATTTTCCATCCCTGTCAAAGGCTTCTGCATTCCCATCTGCCATGTTCTTGTTTGCTTCTTCCGATTTTCCATTTTCACTAAAAGCTTCTGCATCCCCATCTACCGAACTACTATTTGTTTCTTCCAATTTCCCACCTTCGTTGAAAGCTTCCGGATCCCCATCTGCCAAAGTCTTGCATGCTTCTTCCAATTTTCCATCTTCGCTGACAGCTTCTGCATCTCCATCTGCCAAACTTTTGTTAGCTTCTTTCAGTTTTCCATTTTCATTAAAGGCTTCTGCATCCCCAACTGCCGGATTCTTGTTTGTTTCTTCCAATTTTCCACACTCGTTGAAAACTTCTGCATCCCCACTTTCCAAACTTTCTTGCGGGCGATGCGTTTCGATCATTTCAGCTACCGGTTGCTCTATCGGTTTGCGAAGCCCAGGAACGCCTGACGACAAACCGCTGATGAAAGCAATTTTCTGCGCTGACTGCTTCGCTTCCCCGGGAGCTGGAAAACTCCTAACTGTCTTCCTGGCACGCTTTCCTCTCTGCGCTTCATAACCAACTGCAAAACCTTCCATAGCTCTCGGCATTTTTCGAACCCTTTTTGATGAGTTTGTGTCTCCAGATTCATACACACCAACCGGTGATGTGACAGTTGAAAGACCACTTCTAAAATTGCTGAGTTGCTCCTTTTTTTGCACCACCTCATTTTCCTTTTCTAATTTTTCATCACTTTCATTAGTAGCTGAAGGACCCAAAAAATCTGCAAAATGCTTCACAAAATCTTCCGGATGACGAAGTTTCGCCAATTCTATGGCATTTTTAAGGTGTTTCAGAGCCACTTCTCTCAACTGCTTCTTCATTTTTGGTTTCATACCTTGTTTATACCATTTATCCGGAATACGAAACTGCAGCTCCCAAGACTCATCGAGGAAAACGCTCTTCGAAAGGCCAAATGCTTGCTTGATATTATTCGCTCGCAGTCCGAAATGTTCTTTTATTCTTCCACGCACTGGAACCTGTGTTGAAAACCGAGACCTTGTTGCCCCCATCCTTCGCGAACCATTACCATTCACGCTCTTCGACTTCGAAGATAGCGCTAATCGCTTATTGCGTTTCCTAACAGCGCAACTGGTGCGCCAACCAGAGCTCAGGATCGTCCGATGATTCTTATAAAGACTTCGCTGGCTCGTCATGCTATTTTCGCCCGGTTCAGCCGGTACCGAACAGCTTCTTGACAAGCAACCTACGAGGTTCTTAAGCACACCTGAAAAGCAGATAAATGAACGGAGATAAAAGCAGATAATCCTTTGTATGTCCTAAGTCAAAAAAATCAAAACTTCGACAACTGGTTTTTTTTTTTTTTTCCTCACTGCATCTACGTATCTTGTCTTCATTTGTTATTACCCTATTCTCAGTCACTTTGCGCTGCAATCCTGACCGGAATGACGTAGTTGTTGGAATGCAATTACGGCAACACTAGACACTACAACCGGTAAGAATACGCGATAAAACGTGAGGGTGTAAAATTTATGAAAGGCATGTCACCGGGAAACAATATGCGCCGAATCGGCAAATATGCGATCTTTGTATTTCTCACAACCAGTACGGCATGCATGATTTAACCTCCCCCACACCTGATTTAACACTTCTCAGAACAAGTTAGGCCCTTTAAAAAATAAAATTGGTGCCCCACCTGATTTTCAGCGTCACTAGCTACTGAGAACTTTCAACTTTTTATGTTATTAGCGCACTCATTTTAGGTTCGTTTAACAGTTTCACGTAAACGACCAAAGCCAGATGCTATGGCCTAAAATTAAGAGCTCCGTATGTGTCCAAACAAAAAAAAAAGAAAAATTATGCGAAAAAACTACAGATTCCAGTACTAACCGGATAAGTATAGCACAACAAGCCTGTCTTACGATGCGCACCAAACCGGGTGCATGACCATTCATTTTGGTAAACAAAAGCTGTAGCTAAACATTTTCTGGAGAAAAAAAAACAGCACTGACCCTGGCCTTTCGCCATCAGTGCGTAATCATGGATTTTACGCGGGCGAGTTCGTCCAGTTCTCTCCTCGTCAAGTTTCTCTGCGGGATGGGCTTTAGCGGTGTCGAGAGATTGAAATTTAAGACTGCCATCAAAATCAAACGATTCCAAATCCTGAAAAACACCACAGCACTACTCATTTTAGAAAACTGCATTTGAATTTCACTGCTCAAACCATACTGGTACAGCGAAGAGCTATCTGTTTTGGAAACGATGCAAATTAAAATCGTGGGAGGAAACGTGGAAATAAGACGAGAGAAAGTGGAAGAGAGGAGAGGATGTGGAAACGCAAAAGCACGGAATGGGGAGAGAAGTGGGAAAGGGGAGAGGGAGAAGAAAATGTGAAATGGATTAGGTAAAATAAACGGGAAGCAGAGCGACCGATCTAAACCCCTGGAAGATAAAAACTAACATGCTCCATATGTAATCTTTTGAATATTTGAACAAGATTACGATCCTTGATGTCTTGGCCAGGGTCCAGTGACGAAGAGGCTCCTGAAACAGAACATCATCCGACATCACATCACCACAGAGAGAGCACTACAACAAACTGGCATCACCTTCCTCACACTTATCAACTTTTTGCAAATTTTGAAACAAAGCAAACTGTACCTTCAAAGTCGGAATCACTGAAAACCATTGTTGAGTGGAATGAAGGCAGTGATATTCAGTCAGTAATAATCAGCCTGAACGCAGTGCTGAAAAGAAGTGAACAGAATCGTCAACACAACACGCACAAACGCATATGTCCCCGTTCCGAACCACGTGCCAGGCCACCGGACATGAATGTCATTCCCGTGAAAAGCCAACATTCATCAGCTTCTGAGAGCAGGAAATGACGGTGGAGCTGCTGGAGCAGTGGCCGCGAAGCCCCGAATCTGGCAATCAGCACCGGCAACAGCGCCGCTCCGAGACTCACTGCTCAGCAACCCGGCTTTGACGGTGCACCCACAAGCAACGAAAGTGCGCCTTTCACCACTAACACAGCGCACAACAGAGAACACTGTTCTTTGAGGAGCTAGCAGTGCCAGCGTGCTGAGACTGCCTGCGAAGCCTGGCCCACCCGTCGTCCGGCGTCCTGTCCGCTCCAGCAGTACACCCGTCGGGTAGCAAGAACGCCGCACCCGTGCCCGACAAGCCGAAATGGCAGGAAGGCGTTAAAAGGAAGCCGAAATTCATCGAGCACAGACAGTTCCAGCAAAAATAACGACGCGGTGTGGTTGCAGACCCATGGCCAATCACTTCTCGCTGCAGCTGAGCTGAGTAGCACAGTCAGCCGAATGACACTTCCGAAGTGCACTCATGCAGACCGGCCGATGTCACAGG